TTCTGAGAGTGGTACTAAGTTCAACCCCTGTTCTTCTCCTAACCAGCTGCTTCTTAAAGTGTCCTGCACTTCAGGCTTATAAACAGAGCTAAAAATATTAACCTTATAGGGTTGCTGAGCACAATATCTTGTATACACTAAGCTGTAAGTAAAAGTAAGCTATTACTGTCATCATCATTATTTCTAGACTGTGTTCATTTAAAAGATTCAATAATGAGTAAATAATCAGTATGTATTACCAACACAGGAAAAGAAAAATTTCCATGAGCCCCCAAACATAATACTATATCTTCTAGCTGTTTCCTATCTGTCTCCTCTTAATCTAGGATGTTTATTTCCCAGAATTGTACCAAACACTGCTTCCCTCCCGGGTCTGTGGGAGAGGTGGGGGACAGAAGTTCTGGACCATTGTGACAGGGTAAGCAGGTGGTTAGTGTGCTCTCTCTGACCAAACTCGAGCTGTGTGTGAAACACATCACTACGGCTCCCAGGAATGAGATGTAGATGGATTCTCTGGGTTGGGGTGAGGGGGTGTTTCTAGACTTGCAGGTACTATCTTGAGGGTATGTAGATGTGAGTGACAAAATAAAGGAGATCATGTTCACTGTTAACCCTTTGGCTGAATGTCTAGTGTTAACCCTTGGAAAACAAGAGAAAGACAGGTAGGCAAAGAGAGAAAAGACTCTCTCTTTATGCCTTAGCCAGTTAGAACACAGAGGCCTCTTACCTTCTATTGAAAAAGAGGTGTTTTATCAGGTTAAAGAAACTGAATTACCCACCTCTCTTTCCTTTTTCTTTAATGCCAATCTTAAAAATGTTTTTCCAGTTTTAGATATTTATGATTTGATTCTTCATACCGAGGTTCACAAAGGGGATTTAAGGGCTGAAATTGTTACTAGCACCAGATGCCTGATGACCCTGGTTGTATGAAAAACGACAATGCAGAGAGGAGGCAGAGAAGTACTCACCATAACAACACTGGGTTGCTACACATGCTCAGCACAAGCCACTGATAAGAAAGCAGAGTCATTCCTAAAGGGAACTAAATACAAACTTTCCAGGTACTGTAGATCCCCTGCAAAGATAACGGTCAACAATCCTCCCACGCCTGTGTGCACACACTGCTCCTCAACCTAGAGGTGGCATCTAGCGCTCCTAGCCTTGAATCCGGCTGGACTTGCTTCGGCCAACAGAAGGTGACAGAAATCATACTTTGCTCCAGGCCTAAGCCTTAACAGCCCTTGCTGCTTCTGTGCTTGCTCTCTTGGAAGTTGGGGCTGGACTCCTGAATGATGGGAGAGCACCTTGCAGAGACAGAGGCCTTGTGGAGGAGGATCAAGGCATTCTGGTCAACAGCTGGTACCAAAGTCCCAGCTGTGTGGAGTGAGGCCACCTTGGACCTGTCAGTCCCAGGCAAACCACCCCAGCTGATACCACAAGGGGCACACATGAGCACTTCCCAAATTTCTGACTCACAGAATCAAGTAATAAAATAATTGCTATTTTAAGTGACTAGGTTTGGAGATGATTTGCTATGTAGCAATAGAAAATTAAAGCAGGCATCTTATGGCTCTCTCTGTCTCTCTATCTATGGAGGGGCTCCAACAGCTAGATGCCTGGGTTTCCACCCCTTTTTTTCAGCACATGTTCTATTTACTCCTAGAGCCCTCCTAATGATTATTCTGAAGCACAAAGTAAATACCTTATGTAAAATGTTAACAACATGAGAGAATACTATGCCAGTCGCTATGGGGGATATACACTTCAGCTCTGTAGTAGGGCTTGTTTCAACCAAGAGGGTATACACTAACACATGAAAAGGTGCTGCTGGAAAGTACTTCTTCAAGTGGGGTTTCAGGATTTTGTCTAACTTTTCACACTAAAGACTGGACAGAAGAATAGTTACTCCTAGGTACGTGTGTGTGTGTTTCTATTACAGAAAGTTAAAGCCAAGTCTAAGGAAATGCTTGGTAAATATTAACTAAGACCTTAAATACTATGAAACTTTAGATTTTAAAACATTTTATTTATGTATTTTAGATGCAAGATCTCACTGTCACCCAGGCTGGAATGCAGTGGTGCAATCATAGCTCACTATAGCCTTGAACTCCTAAGCTTAAGTGATCCTCCCACCTCAGCCTCCCATGGCTATGTGCCACCACATCCAGCTGATTTTTCATTTTTATTTATTTATTTATTTATTTGAGACAGAGTCTCGCTCTGTTGCCAGGCTGGAGTGCAATGATGCCATCTCAGCTCACTGCAACCTCCAACTCCCTGGTTCAAGTGATTCTCCTGCCTCAGTCTCTCAAGTAGCTGGGATTACAGGCACATGCCACCATGCTCAGCTAATTTTTGTATTTTTAGTAGAGACAGGGTTTCACCATGTTGGCCAACATGGTCTCAATCTCCTGCCCTCGTGATCTGCCCACCTCAGCCTTCCAAAGTGCTGGGATTACAGCCTTCAGCCAACGCACCTGGTCCATTTTTATTTTTTGTAGAGATGGGGGTCTTGCTATTTTGCCCAGGCTGATCTCAAAGTCTTGGCCTCAAATGTTTCCTCTCACATTAGCCTCCCCAAACACTGGGATTAAAGGTGTGAACCACCATGCCTGGCCAACATTGTAGATTTTAAAGAATAAGTTTCTGACAGCATCCTTCTGAAGACATAAAATTGCTCTGGATCTGATGGCAAAGGATAAGTTCTATTGGCAGGGAATTTAGACAAAGTGTTATCTCTGGAAAGCCAGAGGCCAGAGCACAGCCACGAATTCTTCGAATTGCTGTGAGGTGAACACCATAAACTTCCAGAGAAGACTGAGGCAGCATCTCTTTGCTTTATATCAGGCTAGGCCTGAAGCTGCACTGAAAAAGGAATGAAGCTGGCTTATTTGTCAACAAAAGACAAACCCTATGAAGAAGCAGGTTTACCTTCTCAGAGTAATGAACATGGTGCTGTTCTCAGAAGTCAAATACCGTGACTTGGGCAATATTCTATTGATCACATAGGCTAGCTCTATTCAGAAGTGGATGGCGCTACACAAGAGAATGAACACTGGTGGGCAGGGTCAATGGGAGCCCTGTTGGAGGCTGGCTGCCACATTCACCCAAAATCAATGTACTAGTGCCTGCTGAGGAACAAAACACAATGTCCCTGCTTTCATGAAGCATACATGCTTAGAGAGGTGAGAAAAGCAACAGATCTAATCAGTAAGTAAATTATATTACATGCTCTAATTTGGGAAGTCCTATGGGCTCCTGCGCTAGGCTCCACAGACCAAACCAAAATGCAGTCACTCCTGCTGAGGTTCGATACCATGAGGGCAGAAATAAGTTGTTTGTCTGAGCTTCCAAGAAATGACGAGAGAGATAACAGCCAAATCCCCAAACAGCCCAGTTTTAGTCAGCACATAAAGAAGTCCCCTCTGCTTTAACTTTCACAAGGAAAGTAACTTTAAAACAATTAATCTCCTTTTTGTTCTCTTCTTTAGCCCTTTTCTGTCTAAAGCCAACCTCTGCTCAGCTCACTGGAACACTCATTCTATTTTACAGAATGAGGCATTGCCCAATTCTGGAATCGCAAATAAAAGTGAATTAAGATCTTTAAATTAAGCTTGTTGTGATTTTGTCTTTTGATATATGAAAATAGACAAAGCAGGAGAAAAGGAAAAGGGAATGCTGGAAGTTGGGATTACAATTTTAAACGGGGAGATCTGGGTAGACTTCACTTAGTACACCTGAAGGGAGTGAGGAAACAGGCCATGTGGTTTTATGGAAGAACAGTGTTCCAGCCACTGGGAACAGCAACTATGAAGACCTGGAAGTAGGAATGTGCCTGTCATGTCCAGGAAACAGCAAGGCAGAAACCAGATGGTTACAGGAGAGATGCAGGAGATGAGATCAGGTAATAACAGTCAGAGGACAGAGACTACATGGGCGAACGTATGAAATGGGAAGCCACTGGATAGTTCTTAGCAGACAACTGATACTATCTGACTTAACATTAAAAAAAAAATCTCATTCTGGTGGCTGATACCAGAATTGACAGGCCAAGGGTGGAAGAAAGGAAACAAATTAGGAGGCTCTTGTAAAAAGTCAGACAAGAGGTAGTGGTGGCTTACATTACAACAATATCACTGTAGGTGGTAAGGCGTGGTCACTCTGAATTTATTGTGCATGATTAATTGCCATTCTAGGCAAAAGTTTTTATTTAAGAGGAACAGCATTTTTTATTAGATCCCAGATATGTTGCTGCTAAATGGTGCTTTAGGGAACCCCACACAAGTTCTGAGGAACTTCACAGGGATTTGCTCGTAACAGCAATGAAGTGGGTAAGGGGACTGACGCTCTAGGGGACTAAAACTGTCCCCTCCCCAGTTTTATAATGGCGGTTCTGTGTTAACATTCTTTAAATGTGGGATGGGAAAAACCTTCAAAAGAAAGACTAGGAAACCCGATTACCCAAAAGAAAAGATAGACCATAAAAACACACACCACAAACTGTATAAAAAATACAACACTATTGATAAAACTGAAAGACAAACTACAAATAAAAATATTTGCAACACAAATGAAGACAGTTTAATATCTCTAAAATTTAAAAAACTCCTAAATTCAAAAGGCAACAATCAAGTAAGAAATGAGCAAAGAGTGTGATCAAAACGAGGTTCATAATAGTACCTCCTTCATTGAATTGTTGTGAGGATAAAATAACAATATATACATCAAGTGTTTAACATAGTTCCTGGCTCAATAAATTTTACCCACCACTGCCACCCCATAACCACCACTGCTGTCATCATAGCTACCACTGTTGACACTTTGCCACTACCTTTGTGTTATCATCACCACCATCACCACCACCACCAGCAACTCCATCATCCTGTCAGTGTCAGGGCCATTAGCAATGGAAATCTGAGTCAACTCTGAAGGTCAATTCCAATGCAGCTTCCCCCCAAGTACATTCTTCACTGCAAGTAACCAATTACGTATTGTATTACCTTTTCATGGTTTTCTATTAGGATCTCAATGACAATGTTCTGAAATTTGATGTCCATAATGGCTGCTACCGTTTCTTCCTGAGGCCTCAGCAGAGTGGGTCCAAACACGACGCCAAGGTTTGCCACCGTCATCAAATTCTGCTTGTGGTTGTTAGCAACACTGGGAGGAAGGAAAAGAAAAGGTACCAATGAGAGAAATTGTGTACACAGAGATACCAACCACTCTGTACCCTTCCTATCTTCCTATCTACAGACTCCTCGTCTGTGGGAGCCAGAACTTGGGACATTCTCAGATGCCACAGGAATCAGAAAATCTACCACATTTCAGAAATCTTCAGCATCCAGGCTATTTTCCTATTTCAGGATATGACATTCCTTATATCATTTCCATTTTGCCTAAAACAACCAACCAACCAAAGCAGCTATCTGCCAAATTACTAACCTTTGAACATCTGAATCCCTGTTTTGCAAGTCCAGGTAACTGCTAATCCCTCTTAATTGCAATTTATGTACTTGGCTGCTGCTTAAACCACTGTAATCATTAGCATTTTTCTCTACTGCAAATGTAAAATCTCTTGATGGCTTTAATACATTCGCAAACATAAACACAAAATAGACATAATTTTTAAAATGGGCAGATCTGGATATTTAAAACCAAGTAAGGAAAGTCAGCCCTTTAAAGTATTAAAGGCCCACCAGATTAAATATGTGGCTCACATTAAGTGAAATGTGGCACAAACAGAAATATAAATGCACTAGTGTATATTTATCTATATGGCTATGTTTATATTGTCACTTTAACAAACACACAGGGTCAACAGCTGCTGGGTCTGAGTAATTTGCTAAAGACGTATGCTTATTTTTGAATAAACAACTACATGTATCTGAACTCCATACCCAGGCCACCATGACCTAGCTATGAAACTCAATTGTTCACTTGCTGGCCCCATGTGTAAAAACATACAAATCATCTACTGGCAACAAATAAGTTAAAAGTTAATGCCATTTAGTTTTGTTGAGAAAATACCAAGAGCTTCCCTAAATCACCTGCTATAAGAAGGAAGCTATTCATTACTAACTCAAAACCAGAGAGAAATTGGGTAGAGATCGGCAGTTTGCACACACCTACCTCCCTAGCATTTAGTGCTATTTATATGTAGTATTTTTTCACACAATTCTATAAATGCCTGTACTGTTTCTCTGGTATACCTTTTTTTTCTTTCTTTCTTTCTTTCTTTTTTTTTTTTTAAAGAAAAGAGATTTTCTGGATCTTAAGTGCTGGTTTTTAAACTGAGACTTTATTAAAATACTACATCAACCAATTTTATTAGTAGATGTGTACATTTCTATAATTTTCTTTAGGGCTAAGAGTTTAACTTTCTCCTCTAACGGTGGGCAGAGCATGGTTAGACCTATGAAACTTTAACTGTGGTGCCATCCAACTAGAAAGATAATTTGCTTTTTGACTGCCAAGCAACACCTGCAGCAGGGAGAGTGGCCTGCCTCTGGTCCATAAAGAATATTTCATTAACATTTTCTTAGTTCTTGCTGAGTCTCCTGGTTTTACCTATAGTTTTCCATTCTACCCAGAATCACGTCACGCTTCCAGTCTGAAAAAGTGAATGCAGACGGTCAAATTCTTACCTGGCAAGGGGGAGAGACTTTGGTTCTGTGCCTTAGTCAATCATCAAGTATGCATATTTACAAACTGCTTTTAACATCACTCCTTTCAACATCAGCTCCTCTGTGTGGGAAGGGAATTCTATGTCCTTATACTTCCCCTCCCAAAAGAGCTAAGTCATTAAACTTGCCCTCTTGTCACAAAAGTCCCTTGTGCAAGTGAATCAACAAGCTATTTTTGTATGAAAGTACCTTCAAATTGTCGACCAATATAAAAATACATGGTTTGGATGATGATCATTTTTCCCTGTCCTGCTCCTCCACACTACATCTGACTACAGCAACAGCCTCCTAACTAGGGTTCCTGACCCAAGAGCTTCTAACTTCAGCTTTATCCTTCCTGCTACCAGCAGTTCCAGCTAAAACCTCCCCATTTAGTGTTTAGCAAATGCTTTTATTGTTTAATTGTTCTGATAATGATGGCTATAAACCTTTAGTGGGCCCCACTGTTTTTCTTTCTTCTTCTTCTTTTTTTTTTTTTTTAAACAAACAAGATCTTTCTCTGTCATCTAGGCTGGAGTGCAGTGGCATGATTATAGTTCACTGCACCTTCACACTTCTGGGCTCAAGAGATCTTCCTGTCTCAGACTCCTGAGCAGCTGGTACTACAGGCATGCATTGCCACACCTGGCTAGTTTTTAAATTTTTTTGTAGAGACAGTCTTGCTATGCTGCCTAGACTGATCTTGAACTCCCGGTGTCAAGTGATCCTTCCAGCTTGGCCTCCCAAAATGGTAAGATTATAGGCGTGAGCCACTGTGCCTGGCCTGCCCGACTGTTTTTAATACAAAGTCTGAACTCTTATAAAACAGCATACCTTTCCTCAAATCACCACTAAGCCTTTCTGTGCTACCTCACAGCTTGGGTCCCTGGGCAGAGTAACTCAATATTTCTAAGTGCTGGGTTCCTCATCTTTAAATAAAGGAGAGGCTGGGTGAATAACATACCTACTTCATGTGAATGTCATACAGATTAAATGTGATAATGCATGGGAAATATGGTAATTATCACACTAATTCGCTTTTCACTCTCATTCCACTTCCATACCTCTCTGCCTTTGTCCATATCATTCCTCTGCCTGGAATGCTATTATGCTGCTTCGTTCGTTTGGCAAACTGTTAATATGCAAGGCTCAGCTCAAATGGTCCCAGTCCTTTCTGTACATTCCTCTCACCTTTCTCCAACCCTCTATTCCCAACAAAGGCAGAGATGTCGGCCTGCTCCTGCATTCATTACACTGCGCTGTCATCCCTACCCAGGCCTGAGAAGAGGAAGTATGGTGTTTTATTTGGTAGTACCAGTGCTGAGCACACTGCTTGGCACATGAGATGCACAATGAGCATTCGCTGAAGTGTTAAAAGATGAGGGGAGTTTCTGAGTAGGAATAAAACAATTATTCCCAACCCAGCTATTTACTCATAAAACTACAAATTATTGTTGATTTTTAGAGAATGTATCTCAACTATCCCAACCTCCCTTTTTAAAGTCTCCAGCTACGTTCTATTTCTTTGACTTAATTAAAGAGTAATAATTACTCCTATTTGCAGGCCCCAATGCTCAAAGGCATTTGGAAAAAAGGTATAACAATTTTGGATTGGCAACTCTGAATATAAATAGGCTTGAGGTTACCCAGCATAATTCATTTCCCTTTTAATGATCCGTGTTATTTTAGAACTTAAAAAACACATTGATCTAAGTCTTAGAAAACTTTTTTTGGCGGGGGTGGGGGAGCTACACCTTTCATTATTAATGACCATTATCTTTCGGCACACTGAAGTAATAAATGGATCTGTCACTTGATTATTACTGCTCGCAACTTGGTACAGCTATGTTCATTACTCCAGGATGAATTATTAATGGCTTGAGATCTCTATGTATCCCGGACAGAAAGGCCTAGACCTCAGCCTCTGCTGGCACCAGCCATCTATTATAGCTGGATGAATTTACAGGTGTGTGGGAAATAGGCTGGCAGAGCACTGGGGAGCCAGCCCAGCAGAGGCCATGGGACTCATTCATTAGCAAGGTCTATAAAACATGGAGAACCTGCTGTTTTGTTAAATTGAGCTGTCTGAGCTCCTCCTCATACAGCTCAGAATGTCATGTTGAGTCTTGACTTAAAATCCACACAGAGAAGTTACCTTCACACTACATACTGCAGTGAAGAGGTCTTTGACACATGTCTTTCAAATCCCTCTGTCCATGTGGACTGCTCTGCTGTGGTGTCTTTTGAAAGAACTGCCAATTCTATCATTTGGATGCTGCAGAGAAACAGTTCTGCATGTGATATTCACTTGGAAGAGACCCAGTTTCTTCTGGGATCATCAGAACTGCTGTATCCAATGAGAAGCAGTGGATCTCCTGAGAGGCATGACTTCAGGGCAGTTGTTGGGGTTGGTAGGTATATGTACCCCACGATGCAGGGAGTTGCCTCATGAACTAGAACCAATGAGGAAAGCACATGTTCCATGAAAATGGCCTTGGCAGAGGGGCCTCCTGCCACCTTTGCTTCAAAAGGAAATAGATGGAGATTCTGTTTTGGTCTGATATCCTTTGACGGGCAGAAGGAAGTAAATCACTTTCAGATAAAGATGTTGGTGGGGACGGTGATAGAGGGAGCATTATGATGGGAATAGACAGTAGCCAATCCTTTTGGGGCCTGTAAGGCAGAGACCACCCATGCTGTCATAGGGATTACATCCGTTTTCCTGGAGTTTAAATGAGAGTCAGAGCTCTATAAGTGTTAAGTAGTACTTTAAAATACGAGACTGGTCCTAAAGTACTCCAACAATACATGAGTTTACTGTGGGGTTTGCAGATAGGTTTCATCTGATCCTGAAGTATTCTAAAGATACATAAGCTTATTGTAGGGTTTGCAGATAGGTTTCATCTTGAGGCCTAGAGTGTTATGTCAAAGAATGTCAAAGCAGAGTACCAGCGCCACTGGATACGATGTAGTCACAGATTTGCAATGAACCATGGATTGGATGGGCGGAACAACAGCCCATCCCACTTATCCACCATCTCCTACTTGTTTGCTTCAGCTTCCAATATTAAATTGGAATTAGGCTTACAGTGTTTTAGACTTTTTAAACAAGCTACAACAACTTTTTACATTTATCTGACCTTCAGAATAACTCTGTAATAGCAGCTCTCAAACGTTCTGACAATGACCCAAGGTAGGAAGTATATTTTATCAAGCAATACACACATACATAAACAGACACATCCCCACACCATATCAGAAACAAAAGTTTTCAGGAATAGTAAGTATGATACATTCTGATATTTTCTATTCCCATGCTATCCTAGTCTATGTTTGTCCAATAAATTATTTTCATGAGCCACTTATATGCCATGAACTACTATTTCAGAAACACTGCTACAGAGGCATAAAGCGCAAGTACTCTCTCCAATTTGCAAATTTGGACAATGAAGCCTAAGGGAGATCATAGCACAGTAGCTGGGGTCAGACAGACATTAC